GTACACTGCTACGCAATTCAGGATCTACAGGTAGATCAGAATGTATAGGTATAGACGAGTGGCGGAATTTTGGCTTTTTTTATATCGCAATTTGTAAACAGCGCTTATTTGTAAACAACCACCATTTTTAGAGAGGTATTTTAGATAACAATCGATACTTAGAAATGTTTTGACACCCTGGAAATACTACCACCGAGCACGTCATTGTTGCAACTTGCAACTGCGTCAATACGCCTGGCGGTGACCGCCTCATACTCTTTCAGATATTTAGCAATAAAATAAAGAAACCTGTTATTTTTAAGCTGTTATTTTAAGCTGTTTTTTATAAATAACTATAACAGTTTCAACTGTTATCTAAAAATAACAGTTTTGCCCATCACTATTTTTCATATAACATTATCTCTATTCACCATATCTATAATTTTCGACTATTCCCACAATTATATTTGATAACGTAAATATCTCCAGTCAACAACTACCAATTAGGGCATCTACGGTTAACCAGATCCCCAACTAAAACCCTTCGAATTTCGGCAAATCAAAATACGCCAACCCTTATTTCCTTCGGTATTTTCACCTGAAATTTGAGCAATGCTTTGGGGTAGGATTTTACCTCAATTTACATTGCGTAGGTAAACAAGGGTTTGGTCTTTATTTATCCCAAGAGAATATTAGTATTTAAATGTATAAAATATTCGAAACAATCACACTGAAATAACAGTATATATATACAGGGTCACCCAAATTTGTGCCTCAAAGCTAGATAATCTCGGACACTAGAGGAAATTCGCGAGTTTAAAAAAGTTTAAAGATTCAAAGCGTTAAAGGAAATTTCTAATAAATTTCCTTTATTTTCTTTCATCCTTTTCATAGGCAAATCTGACGAACAAGAATACAAAAGACTGCATATATTGCATTTGTATCGAGATATATAGGAATATTTTATTAAATTTTCGCCATGCATAGCCTATAGTGTAAAACGCGAAATATTAAATTTTGTTCGGAACTAATGGTTTTCCCGAGGCTGTGGGATGGAAATCGTTTGGAACTATTACATTTTCCCCTCAGGAAAACTGAATATATATACTGCAGTTACTGCACTCTGCGTTAAGTTTATCAATTATTTCAATTTAAATAATTTAAAACATGGAAAAGCAACGGCCAGCTACGTCGAAACACCGGTTCCCATTAGAACACCGAAATGAAGCGACGTAAGGCAATACTAGTGGATGGACGGGTGACCTGTTCGAAACTCTGTATCGTGCTGTTGTCCAATAAAAGCAAAAGTGTAAATCTATTGACACACACTGCTCATTCGCGCCGGTTCAAGGCCGGATGAGATCGGATATGTCGTGAGTAAGAGACGATTTAGACACTTGCCAAGTCTGTAGGCCATTGACCACGATATTGCCGAGGACCGCGGTTCGGATTCCGCTTAAACAAAGTAGGCTCCGTCCATATTAGCCCTGGCAGCAAAAAGGAGACGTTAACTTCAAATCTTTACTTTAAAACATGGAAGTCAGTTAAAACAGTAGATTTTTATTAGAAACATCATAAAATTCCAAAATAAGCGACTAAAATTCTTTTAGGGCTGTAATAAATTTACTAAAAATAAAAAGCGACCAAATTATAATTTGGAGCTCTATATGGACGTTCATAAAACCATTTTCCATATACATGAATAAAGATCAAAAATATGCATACGGTAATAACTTTTAAATGAATGAATCATAAAAATTAGGCGAAATTTCTGAGAATGAATTAGATTTTTTATTTAAATTTTACGAGTGTATAAATAGGAGGAAAGCGTGCTTTAGGAGATTAAAATAAAAGTTTTTCCATGTCTATTTAGGAAAATCTAAAATTAGAAAATATACTTTAATATGTCATGTTTTATAGCATATATACAGATTATATACTGTATACTCTTTCGTATACAAAAGGTACCGGTTGTAGGTATACTAAACAATAAGAAGTAAAAAATATTTAAATATAGTTTCGAAATTTGTTATATTTAATATTGTTTTTTTGTTAATATTTTTTATGAATAGGTATGTAAAACTTGGAAAATAAGTTTGTTATAATAATGCTTTTATTTATTCACTATTCTAATAAAAAATTTATCTAGTAATGCTAAAACACTCTATATGAAAGTCGATTAGAGAAAATAGTATGATTCATTGGCAAGCGATGTAAATATTTGTGATCAGGTAAAATTGTGATGTAAGAGGAGCCTTAGCTTGCACGGGCGCGGCAGGTCAGCCAGTCGTTGATATGCCGGCCGGCTGTGTAGTGTTGTGTTTTGTCACAGAGCTGACAAATGGAGGTTGTGAGTCTTTTGACTAATATAGTTGCAAGTCGTTTGACTGTAAGCCAACGGGGTCGTTTGATCACGGTAAGAAAACCTCTTGGGACGTCCTGCCTTCGAGTTGGTCTTGAGAGTTTGAGGTCTCCATAATGTCTTCTCGATTGACGATGCGGCGTTGGGATAGTGAGCTACCCAATAGCCTATTCGATTGGGATGCGAATCTGTTTAGAGGCAGAGTTGCGTCCGGGGGAAGCCCCTATACTATTTCAGGTGACACTAGATAGTTGTTGAAGATTATTAACCAATAGATCCGAATAATATTTATTTTGAATTAGATGGAAGATATGGAATGTGATATATTGAATAGAATATCAGTTATGTCAGTGGCTAGGGGGCTGAGTACCCCCGGGTGAGTCTTACTATTTAACTATCAATTTTATCCAGATCAGTAAATGTTTGTTTTGTTATTTTCATGTACAATGAGAGAGTGCTTGCCAATGACCAACTAAATGGATATTTGAGGTGAATTGCATTGTGAGACCCGGTTGAGTAAGCCCCAAAAATACCGATTTTACAAATATTTTGATATTAAATGTTTCAGTTAGCTATACAGGGTGAGTCTTGAGATAAGTGCAAATATTTTCAGGGTTAGTAGATCTCGATACAAGAAACATAGGTATTTCCTCTTTAACGTTTGTCAAATAAGTCCAAAATAACCAAGATATTTTACTTTAAAAATTAAAAAAAAATGGTTTTTTACTTAGATTTTGAGATTTACCTATGTTGCCATATTATGAAGGTATTACGTGAATTTTAACTGAAAATTGTTCATATTTTGCTTTTATTAAAGTGTTGTCACAAAGAAATGTCACTCAATTTTAATGTCAGTAGTACTCAATACAAAGAACAAATGTGCTTTCTTTCTCTGTGTGATACACGAGTGTATTATTTACTGATTTGGAACGATGTGTCAATAAAATTAAGGTAATTTTGTCCAGAATAAAAAGAGATAGAATAAATACATATATCCGCAAAGGAGAATTACCTCAGAGTGATAAAACGCTAAGAAGGTTTGGTAGGATAGAATAACGATTGCTATTATAATTTTATAAAAAAAAAGTTGTGTGTGCTCTATGTGCGCGTATTTGAAGAAAAGAAACATAGGTATTTCCTCTTTAACGTTTGTCAAATAAGTCCAAAATAACCAAGATATTTTACATTAAAAATTAAAAAAAATGGTTTTTTACTTACATTTTGAGATTTATCTATGTTGCCATATTATGAAGGTATTACGTGAATTTTAACTGAAAATTGTTCATATTTTGCTTTTATTAAAGTGTTGTCACAAAGAAATGTCACTCAATTTTAATGTCAGTAGTACTCAATACAAAGAACAAATGTGCTTTCTTTCTCTGTGTGATACACGAGTGTATTATTTACTGATTTGGAACGATGTGTCAATAAAATTAAGGTAATTTTGTCCAGAATAAAAAGAGATAGAATAAATACATATATCCGCAAAGGAGAATTGCCTCAGAGTGATAAAAAGCTAAGAAGGTTTGGTAGGATAGAATGACGATTGCTATTATAATTTTATAAAAAAAATGTTGCGTGTGCTCTATGTGGGCGTATTTGAAATAAAACTTTTTACTTACAGCCATTAAATTGAGGGATTTGAAGGAAATGTTTGAAAAAGTGACATAATACCGTATGATCGAGAAAAAACGGCGTCAAAGGCGGCTGGGGAATGACTATCGATGCTATTTTTGACGAGGTCGAACTCTGCTCAAAGTTAATTAACTTTATTTTGATTTTTTTAGTTAATTAAAATCCTTCTTCTTTTCACTTTAAAGATCTTCAAAAAAATTAAATTTTAATTAAAATGAATACTAAATGTAGAAAATCTGGAAGACAATAGTAAGTTTCCGGATTTAACAATACAATAATCAAAAATGTTGTCGAAATGTCTCGGTCGGAGGCTTGTCGGACGACGAGATTTAGTTAGGTTAGAGTCTTACTGGTCTTGCTCTTCTTTATTTTTAAAGGCGTTTACTGCATTAAGGATGATTTAATATCGATTTTTTATTGAGTAGAACTGGTGCAGATCGAAACATTTGAGAAAACAATTTTTTGGAAATTGATATGTGTATCTGGAAACTTTCTATTCTTTTCTGGTTTTTCTATATAAGGTATTAATTTTTGACAAATTTTATGTCAGTTCTCAGTAACTGACGTCTAGAGTTCTATCTCGTCAAAAATAGCATCGATAGTCATTCCCCAGCCGCCTTTGACGCCGTTTTTTCTCGATCATACGGTATATTGCTGTTTTAATATAAATATTATTTTCAATTTATTTCTGTAATCTGTACATTTTCTGTTTCCTCAATAGCCTGCCAATTTCTTTGAATACCACCCAAAATACACACTTTTATGCAAACGTCTAATAATATTAACGCCCCTTAAAATTTAATTAAGAAAAGAAGAAATTTTGAACCTAACCAACAATTCGCGTGGTCGGTTTATGTTTACATGCTTTTTTCTTTTATTTATAGTGATTTACTGTAATTTTGTTAAATTATACAAATATTTTCGTTGATTATTGGTTTGAAATAAATATGAGAATGTCCTGCAATGAAAATGCGAGTTGCTTAGCTCTAATAACTCTAATTCTGAGCTAGGAAATGAACTGGATGCTTTACCTAGACCGTTATTCAGAAGCTACAAACCTATCGATGACACAACCGGAGGATATTGGTATACAGGTACAGTAACAAGTTAATTATAATCATTTTCTTTGCTTTAAATCAAATGTTTTTTGGTGTTTTGCGCGATCGTGCGATCCTTACCTTGCAAATGCGCTGTTCTATGTTTTTTCTGATCATTATCACTCTGATGGAACAGTCAATCGATTTATTCATAAATATTTCATAAGGTTATTATCCTCGTGAACCGATGGAGTATAAATATTTAAATCCAACGAAAATAACTACTCGAAATGGACAGGCGTTAAAAAATTATTTCGTTTGTCGCTTAATAACATTATTTGTTTCGATTTATATCGAACAATGTGCACGTGTGTTGGGTGATTTTGGAAAATGCCATTTCAGCAGTTAACTGGCAATGCAATAATATAAGTCTAAATTATTATTTTAGCAAAAATAAAAGTGCGAAATGTGGAACTCCAATTTCCTCAATAATTAAAATAATTTTTTTCATATACCCGGCTACCGACGATATAAATAAGATCCTGGAACTACGCAAAACGGACATTATCAAATCTTTGCAAAATTTTATACTCTGTTTTTTTTCTCACGTAAGATTTCGACAGACGATGACAGAAGAAAAGCAGATGACGTCCCATATAGTAAACGCCACGAATGTTTGGGAGTGATTCATCGGTCGCTACCATGTGAACTAATCTGTTCAACGTCACATAAAACTTAATTCCAGTGCCGTGGTGTTTCAAGTCATATGATAATCAATATATAATCTTTTGTAATTTGTTGTTTTAACTGTCAAAGTCTTGTCAAAACATATATTTGGTTATAAATATAAAATGGAATACCCCATTGGTCGCACTGCAAGCACACCAATGGACTGACGCACAAAAACGAATCAATCAAAGAAACGCGATATAGTATCGTCTTTGTCAATCACGCTAACATTTTAGAATAAGTAGGAGGAGCGCAGGCAGATGATTAGACCGGGCTTTAAAAACCTACGTCAGCGGTAAAAATTTACGTTTTTAATGTAAAAACGATAGCGCGCGTGTCGATTCTAACTTCATCAAGCGATGAATCACTCCCAAACATTCGTGGCGTTTACTCTACCAATCTATTTATTTTACTAAAAAAAGTTTCTAATAATTTTTAAGTTACTTTAAGTTAATTATGGATGGGTTTAAATATAAATCCGTCATATGTCGTCCCTTGTTGTTTTTTACCAGTTTTATTGGTTTATTTCAAAGATGACAGATCATATTTCAATTTTATTGGTTTGACGGAACGATGAACGACAAACGGACGCCGATACGTATGAGCTACTCGCGTTTAGATTTTTGAGGATTGTCAAAGTCTTGCCAAATTACAGGTTATAATTTTGTATCAACTTATGTCAAATATCTGCGTTATGGAAGGTGATACATTTTGATTCGTGTTATTACGTGTGTTTTGTGCCTTTTAAAGCCAAGTGGAGGAAAAATCGAGGAGAAAATTAACTGTAGACCCAGAGCACAGTTTATACTTAATACTCGCTGCCCAGGTTATACACCAATAAAGTTTCCATCAATAAAGTTTGTATACCATCTCGTCGTAGATAAGTGCATCTCGTATAATATGGTACAAGGATAATACTAAACATATACTAAAAACTGGAGTAGCTGTAAAATATCGACATCACACTTTAGGTAAATAATGGATTTTAGAACTGCAGAAAAATAATGTCAAAAGGTACTGGTTTAAAAAAATTAAGATTAAAGTTAATTAATCAACCTTTAAGATATAAAATTTGGTAAGTGTTATTATTAATAAAATAGTTTGTTTTATTTATTCCCGTGGAATATTACAAATTTGTATTTGTACATAAGTTATATTGATAAATATAATCATAAATACGGGTAGTTTCATGAAGCTTGAAAGTAAGAAGTAGTTCTTTTTTATATTTTTTTGGTATGTGGTGTTTTGTTCTTGTTTCTTTTGTGTTAACACATACCGTTTTATTTTAAATAAAATAATTCGATCACATTTTTCAGTTTTTACAGTTTTTTTGAAGTAATCACTTCCTTCCTGCTATGCCTTCCAGTGGTACCAACCTATTTCTTTGTAAAATAAAATAAACATACCTTGTAATTAAAATGACAGAGTATCTATCACTGTCAAGGATCTTGTCGTTAGACAGACATAGTTCATTGATGTTTTTGTGCAGACAGAAAATACTGATTTCAGCAATTATTGCTGATATAGCGATTAAAAGATAATTCCACCTATATCCAATATCAATCGAACCTTAGTAGTGTTCGTTCTAAGGCCTTAATAAAAAGAGTTATGTTGCGGCGCTGCGGTGGGACCTTAATAAAATCGAAATGGCGTGCACCGCTTTCGAGTCGAACCGCTGGGGAAAAAGTTCGACGTAGAAACCTTTGATAATGGAATTATGGCCGACTCCATCTTTAAATCGCCGATGCAATTGAATTGCCGCCCCGCCGGTTTGTTTGTTGCAGAAATGAAAAATGTCGTTACTTTTCTGCAATTAGATTTTTTTCACTGTATTAATTACTTTTACGCTGGGATGCTTTGAAAAAATATAACAAGAAATAGAACGTTAATAGTTATTTTTTATACAAGCCTATAAAATTGTATTTTATCGTCGTGTATAAAACAATATTTTTTCCATAGCGAGTTACGTTTTAAAGAATATTCAGAAATGTTTATTTCAAGGAATTTATTACGAGTAGAAAAAATATTGTGCTGGGTTGGCGTTGGTTTCTATGAAATTTGACAAATAAATAAAGCTGTCTCTTTAGTTGTCAGTTTTGAGTCAATAGGGAGTTTTCGTTGCTTTAAAAAAATTCAACGGTACGGTTAATGGATACGTAACCATAACCGCTATTTTGACAGATAAAAAAACATTTTTCGGACTTTCGGTTCATCGGTTCGGAGCCGACATACGATACGATAACCGAAAACTGACAGCTAAACACAGCCCGTAGCATAGTGTTTTGATTTTTGGTTTTTGTATTGTTGTTTGATTTGAAAGTGCTTTATATGACTTTATTGGGTATCGCTATATAGGATGGACAATTTAATTTTATTGGACTCTAGTGATGAATCGGATTTGGAGGATGCTATGCTGTTGGAAGGGTTTGAAAACAACATCGAATATCGAGCAGACTTTATGGGGAGTTCAACCTAGAAATATTATCTGACCAAGAGTGCAAAGCTAACTTCTGCTTTGAAAAAAAAGACATTCCTCGATTAGTTGAAGCACTAAGAATTCCCAACGAGTTTAATACAGATAAAATAAATAATCAAAACATAAACAAAATAGAATGATGTTAGGTTAGATCTGTATTTTTCAATGTTGTGTTTCTACTGCGCTAGTGCGCATGCGTACCGCTATGTTAACGGCTTTGGCTAACGTCCGTAAAATATCGGCAGCTAGCGGTTACGATATACGATAATCAAAATTGAAATGTCAAAGTTGTCAATTAGCGTTAACCGGAATTGCAATTTGTAAGCAACGAAAACTCCCTAAAATATTTTTTAATTCTCTCTCGTGTCGATTGCTGATTGAATTGGAGCCAGAAATGGCTCAAAACGAAATAAGTAAATTACCAACAGATATTCAGGCTGAGGCGACAAACGCCATATCCAAAAACTACGTCCATTTAAATCTCGAATAACTTATGAAAAGGAATACAAACATTTTCAAAAATGGAAGCAATTAAAAAACGTGCGAGAAGAAATAAAGTTTTCTAACATATCCTCGCTGTTAAAGTATCATTTAATCTACCATTGCGGTTAAAATACTATTTTATCTACTATTTTTGATAGAAATAAGGCAATTTTAACAGTTGCTATAGAAAAATAGTCATTTATTAGTGAATTAATACATAGTCGCTGATCAAGAAAATAACTCTGAAAATGATCTTGAGAATATAATATTTCCTGTATTATTTTTATCAGAAGAAAATGAAGCAAAAATCGAATGGGCAGTGTTAAAGCTACGCTCTACATCATCCTCTATTTTTATTACGTCTTTTCAGAATATTTTACCCGATATTTTTATGAGAATATAAGTTTCTGGAAGACGGTGCATATTCTGACTGGGTCATTCATAACGAAAATATCATTTTCGAGCTATATTATGTATGACGTAATTTGTAATCATATCGATTCTGTCACTTGAGAATATGTAAAAAAACTTGTTTTAAAAAATGACCGCACAAAATCATGAATAAAAAAATTGTATGTGCACTATGTGCGCATATTTGAAAAGAAATTTTTATTCCAAATTTATTTTGAGCATATACAGGGCACATCAATAAGACGAAGTTTTTTGTCCGAACTTTGTAACACCCTGTAGGGTGCAGCAGCAGTAATATCTATTCCTAAATTAAATCACATTGTAGCATCATCTTTTATGAGCATTTTGTTTTTTTAATCACCACATTATCTCTTTTTGTATTGGAGATATGCTGTTTTAAAACGAACGTCTCGGAAAAATTCAGAATTCATCTCGGAAAAGGCAGAAAGTTTTATGTATAAATAATCAAGGCGACATAGGCGAAAACGGATTTATGAATATTTGCAATATGAGAAAAACGGTTGTCAAATTAAAAAATGCCATCATCTGTAACGGATGTTGCTCGTATTGAGGCTTTAATTGGGGATGGCCGAAGTCAACGTTATGTCTCCGATACCCTGGGTATATTTCGAACAACAGTCCAGGATGCCTGGAATCGGTATATGGAAATGGGAAATTTCACGAGGCGAGTGGACACTAGGTATTAGTTCCTTAAAATTTCTTTACCTTTTTCTTAATTTTCATGTTTTAGTTAGTTTACGTCTACGTTCTGATGTTTGATTCCCCGGCACTCCCCTGCAATACTATGGTTTCTGGGGAGTGCCGCTCGAATGGCTTAAGTCATATCTTGGCAACAGAAGGCGGCTTGTGAGGATTGATACGTCTATGTCTTCTTGTAAGCCTATAGAATGTTGTGTCCCTCAGGGTTCAGTACTTGGCCCTATTTTGTTTCTAGTGT